CACTGCCCAATAAGTTTTCGTTCAATATCAGAACGCAGATGGGCAGGACAATGAGAGACGAAAGGTAGAATGAAACGCTTTTTATATATGCGTATAATACTTTAAAAGTTAAGGTTTAAACACCAAAAGTTGGTGAAATGCTGGAAAACAGTAGGCCTAAAATTGACATAAAAATGTTAGTTGTAGTTGTTGTTTTTTAACCCCTCTGATTTCGAACTTTAGGAGGACCGCTTTCACTTACAATTATGACAGTTTAAACTTTTTCTTCTATTCTCTGTTGGATCCCTGGTCAATGTTTATTCTAAAGAAATGTAATTTGATTTTCTTGAACGTTTGGTGCTACTGCTGAAGACTTTATAGCACAAAGTGCCGTGTCTTCTTTCTGTTGATAGAGCGATTAAGCTCATTATTATATTCATGTGATACACTGTAGACTATACTTCGTTAAGATGGTTCTTGATACAGTTTTTAGGCATTATTATAGTTCTATTTTGTTGAGTTGATCGCTGGAGGTAATAGTAAAAATCTTGTACTTCTACAGCAAGTCTTGTTTGAAAGATCATCAAATAAAGGAAGACGACAATAATCCAACAGAACTCCCTCCGGGTCAGGTTTGGGATGTGTACGAGCAGTGTAAGTTTTACATCAAAGATGAAGACGCCACACTGTACAATCCTGAAACAATTAACGTAAGTGAATGTGTCTTTTTTTCGTTTGTAGTATTCTAATCTTGAAATCAACGAAAAAGAAACTTGATGAACTTAAGGTTCGACGAGTCGTATCAATATAGTTTAAGATTACATACTCGACAACATCAAACACACAATACTACAGTTTCAAACGCTCTTGTCTTAATTAGTGATATATGTTTATCTACAGTGACTTGCAAAAATATTCACTCCCTGCAAAGTTTCTACATTTTGTTGCCATCTGAGCTTGCAATCATGATATTTCAAATGGGACTTTATATTTAGAATCTACGCAAACTGAGAAAGATAAAAAACGCTGATATTATATAGGTAAGCTAGAAACTGAGAATATTCTCAATTGCATAAGTATTCAGCCCCGTTGCTACAGCAATCAAAAACCAGTTCAAGTTCAAAAGATTAGTTAGAAAGGTTACAAAAGTAGTGTAATGGTCTTTGTCTGCGTGTAATCAAAGTGGTTTAACTTGACTTGAGAGTAAATGCATCTGTTGAAGACACAACTCACATAGTGATACGACAAACCAACCATGAAGCCAAAGGAGCTTTCCAAACAAGTCAGGGATAAAATGGTAGAGGAGCACAGATCAGGTGACAGTTACAAGAAAATTTTAAAGTTGTTGATTATCCCTTTGAGTATGGTGAAATCCACCCTTCCAAAGTAAGCAGCCTGCCAAGCAGGAAACTGGTTAGGAATGCCACTGTGAAGCTAACAGTGACGTTGAAAGATTTGCAAAGTTCAATGTCTGAGACGAGAGTCAGTGTTCATATATCGACAATATCCCAGTCCCTACACAAAGCTAACATGTATGGTCGAGTGGCAAGATGGAATCTATTACTGAAAAATAATCATCTTAATTATTGTATGGAGTTTGCAGACAAGCATGTAAATAATGCTATAGATATGTGTCAGAAGGTTTTTGTGGTCAGATGAGACAAATTGAGTATTTTTATTCTAAGTTCAAAGTGCTACATCTGGCGCAAGCCCAACACAGCACATCACCCAATGAACACCATCCCAACTGTCAAGTATGGTGGTAGCAGCATCGTGTTATGGGGATGCTTCTCATCAGTAGGAACTGGAAAGATTGTCAGGATTGAGAGGAAGATGGATTGCGAATTCTAGAGAAAAACCTGCTTGAGTCAGCCAAGAATCTAAAACTGGGTCGAAAATTTACATTTCAGCAGGACAATGCCCCGAAGCACAAGGCAAAAGCCACAATGGAGGGTTTGTTTGTTTTTGAATTTCA